GTTATTTTGAGGCCAAAGGAATAACAAATTTAAATTCTTTTGTCTAATAAAATAGAAATGTAATAATTAATTAATAAAATTTCATATTTATTCCTAATTAATCACTATTTAAATAAGGTTTTTTATTTTATTTATATTGCAATTATCTTTTTAAAATTTAGGTAAAATAAGAATAAATACATTAAATGATATTCTAAAAAGAAAAGTTAACTATTAAATTTGAATATCCTAAATTACAAATTAGGTCCACCAAAATTGAATGAAAGGAATATGAATTTATAATTGATATGTCACAAGTCTATGGAGTCTCTATTTAAAAATGCCATTCTCTAATAAATATTTTGAAAAGTTAACCATTAGATCAAATTATCTATTTATGTAGATCTTGCATATCAATTTTTAAGTTGATCTAACATATATAATTATTTAATCAATAAATTGTATTTTCTAGTATATACTTAACTGTATTAAATTTTATATAATTAATTAATTAGTTAAATATATTTAAGTAATCTAAAAACTGACATACTTAATTTACATGAATAAAATATTAAGTTTGTCTACTAATTTTTTAAAATATTTATTAAAGAGATAGTGTTTTTGTGCATTAAAACTCTATGAGGTTGAAATTGATATGCATTATTTTTTTTATAAAAATAATTTTAAATAAACTTCAAAAGCTTATGCAAATTATTAAGTTTAAATTTTAGAAAAACAAAAACTCTACTTTAGAAATCAGAGGAAAATAGAGAAAAAGAAAGGGAAAGAATTTTTGTCTAATTAAATGAAAACATTAGCCAATAAATATATCAAGATATTCTTATAGTTGTTCGGTTTGAATGAAGGGGAGCAGAGGAGCAGAATCCTTTGCTTTATTTTCTACTGTAATTCTTTTATTATTTTAAATAAAAAAAGAAAGAAAAATGAAAAGATATGTATCTTTTCATTCTTTTCTCATTCTCTTCCCCCCTCTCTCTCTATTAAATACTCACCTTGTATTATACTGAACCAGTTTAATTTGTTGTGTGAAAGGAGGGTGTTGAACTAGAGGCATACGAGTCATTTTCCCTTTCTAAATTTGGATTGGTGCTGACAGTAGTTTGTAATCTTCATTTTATCTTTGCAAACGCCATTGTATTAGCTTGCGAATTCAATAATTTTTCTTTCTGATTCTCACCCAACGAACAAAGAATGATTACCAGAAGGTTCTTAGATGCCATTTCCTACAAGATGAATTAATTAATTAATTTACACAAACTAAAATAAATTTGGTTAGGTTCTTAGTCATTGTCACCACTTTTTGGAGGTGGGGCAATTATTTGCTTTAGAGCCTCATATATTTCCCGCTAAGAGTAAAAATTTTGACCAAAGTGCTATAACAGTAGCAAAGTTTGGAATAAAATGTAAGTAGGATAAGAGAGGTAAAAGCAAGCACCTAGGACACCGAATAGGAATATTTTAAGGACTTACATGTTTTTTTTAGCCTAAAATATTTTCTTTTTTTCAAAGTTGTATATAACTTATAGAATAATATCAATTTTTTTTATCTAACATAATTTTGTTAAATAAATTAATAGAAATTTAAGTCATTACTTACCTGGTTCTGCATAAGTTGCCACATAAGCAACACATGACTTTAAAATAGAGAGGAAATTTCCACCTTTCTCTTTCTCTAATCTAATTACCAACAAATAATTAACTTATAATCTAATCTAATTATAACAAAACCCAATTAAAATATCAAAAATAAA